CCTGTTCATCCTGTACCTGAATGCACCGCGCACACCTGTTCATCGGTGTACCTGAATGCACCGCGCACGCCTGTTCATCGGTGTAGTCAGTGTGGATCCAAACAGGCATCTCTTTGTTTGTTTCAGAGCTCGAGAGGCAACCCAGGCCGCAGCCAGGTCGAAGGTCAACTTGGACAGGTCAGCTGTCCATCCCCCGAGCTCTACATCGCCCTCTTCAGGTTTCTCTAAGTAAGAATAAATGAAACGCACAACACGGGTTTGATAAACATTTACACTGAAACAGAATTTTAAAAATACTTTTTAAAGTATTGATAAACATTTGAAACCTTGACAAATTTTAAGAAAAAAAGTCTAATTTTGATTTCGAGAATGTTTTGAAATATTAAAGATTTTGAGACGATAATATTCAGAATAATTTCTTTATTTTTGATCACATTCACTTACTGTCATTTTTGTTGTGCTGAAACTTTATTGGTTTATTGGCCATTAAAAGCTTCTAAAGATTGATTAATAGACTACTTTGTTACTTCCTATCACTGTCAGAATAAAACATGTTTGTGTTTCAGCTCATCAAGTGCTCCGAGCTCCAGATCGACGTCTCCAAAGAACGAGAAACGGGACGCGTCCACGGAACGAAAACCCATGCGACTCGTGAGGTCATCAATCACGCCTTTGTTTTATTTTATTATATAGTTTTCACGAGTTCACTGACGACCTCAGGAGCATTTACACACAAAAGTCATTAATCCTGGAGGGAAATTGAGTTGTCATAGCAACGTACAAACAACAGACGACAAAGCAATCGTGTTGAAGTGGAGAGATAAGGATGAGGTGGGTGAGTTAGCGGGTCTAACGACCTCGTCTGCCTCTTCAGATCTCAGGAGCTTTTCTCACAATAAGATCATGAAATCAAATTTGAGCAGCAGGTCATTAATTTTCTGTTTTATTTTATTTTCTCTCTTAGAGTTGAAATAAAAACTATTCTGACTTTTTATTGATTGATTCCAATTATTTCTATTATTGTTAATGTTGTGCACATGTGCTCAGCGGGGTGGTTACCAACGTAACTGCGGCTCCTTTAAACGAGATGATGAACTGTTTCTTCTCTCAGGTCGGCGTCGGTGACGTCTCCGAGGATCCTGACCTCCATCAAAGAGCTGTTTGAGTGAGTTGTGACCGCCATTATGTTTTGTTTGGTTCATTCATTCAGCGGCTCAGCGAATGAATGAATGACTCTGTGTGTGACATAAGCAGGAAGAGGCGGGGCCACTCGGTCTGCAGTCAGGAGGAAGATCTCGTCTCTCCTGTAAGAATCTGTGTGTCAGCCCGAGTCCCAGCCAGAGCTCTGCAAGTCCTGGTAGCGCGCACTCACACAAAGAACTCCTCTGTTCTCACTACCCAGCATGCCTCTCTGCTGACCTCAGCCTGGTTCACACGGAGTACGACGTTTACACGACGCTGTAATCTTTCCTTTGTTTTTTTCAGGATGCCCATGAGCAAGACATCAACGCCGTGCGGTTCAGCTCCAGCTCAGACCTGCTGGCCACGGGGGGGACAGACAAAGTGATCAAACTGTGGGAGGTCAGGGCAGGTAAACCCACCTGAGGCCCGCTCGTTGTTTTTCTGTATTATCGCTGATTTAAAGGACAGGTTGTGACCTCACTGCTGATGTCATCAGGCTTGCTGACTCACAGAGGGACCCTGGACGGCAGCACGGAGGGCATCACCTGCATCGAGTTTGACCCCATGGTGAGGAAGTCACCTGAGCTCACCTGTAAATGGAGCACTGAGGTGTTTCTCACTCGTGTGGGCATTTGTGTTTTTAGGGCTTCAGGATCCTCGCCGCGTCCTACAGCAAGGCGGCCATGCTGTGGCAGCTGGGCGACTCCGTTCCAAAGGTAAAGGTGACTCACCGCCCGGTGTGTCTGATTAATGACGGGAAACATCATCAACAAATTCTGAACACGAACACAAAAACTGATTTCTAATTTACAATGATGAGCTTTTATTTTGAAATTGTGTTTCTGCAGATCTGGAATGTAACTGTGTGTGTGTGTGTCTGTGTGTGTGTCTGTGTGTGTCTGTGTGTGTGTGTGTG